TTGAGCGAGGTAAGCCAAGAACGAAGAGACAAACGGTACATGGTCTCCCTCATAAGTGGATGCTAAATCCAAAAGGTTAGGTGATACGACAAAACTAACAGGACTTAAGAAACAAAGAACTCCCGCTCATCTGGTTGAACCACTACTAAATATCCCCATGCTGCTGATCACAAACATGGTATATAACATGTGAACACTGTTATATATTACAGACTGTGGTAGACAATTTGCTCCAGGGAAGTTAGAATCAACTTGTGACTTTGAAATTATGTAATCATTTAATCACAATCAAAAAAAAAAAAAAAAAGAACCTCGGGGAAGGGAGGGAGGGAGGGGATGGTAGGGGGAAAACAATGGAGGGGGGTAACAATGTTCAAGAGGAAGTGTACTCATAACCTCACTCATGTAACTGTAACCCTCTGTATAATAGCTTTACAATAAAAAAAAAAAAAAAAAAACCTGGGTGCTCGCTTCGGCAGCACATATACTAAAATTGGAACAATACAGAGAAGATTAGCATGGCCCCTGTGCAAGGATGACACACAAATTCGTGAAGCATTCCATATTTTTAATGCACTCGTTATCTTGCCCATGTAATTGTAACCCCTCTGTATGGTATTTTCACAATAAAAAAAAATCTGGAAGTTAAAAAAAAAAAAAAAAAATTCATGAGGGGCTGGGAAGGTGGCTCAGTGGTAGAGCACTTGCCTTGCATGCCTGAGGCCCTGGGTTCGATTCCTCAGCACCACATAAGCAAAAAGAAAAAAGCTGGAAGTGGCGCTGTGGCTCAAGTGGTAGAGCGCTAGCCTTGAGCTGAAGAGCTGAGGGACAGCGCCTAGGCCCAGAGTTCAGGCCCCACGACCGGACCAAAAAAAAAAAAAATTCATGAATGCTAAACCATCATTACAAATAATAATAAAGGGAAACATACAACCCGAAGAAAACAAAGTCAAGGAAACACATTAGACAAAAATCACTAGAAGACTATTTTAATAAACACAGGAAGTGGAAAGAAGCAAATTACAGGAAAACAAGAAAAAGACAGGCAACATAACACATGTCTCCAAAGTAACACTAAACTTAGACTCAATTCCCCAACCAAAAGACATAGAGCAGTAGACTAGATAAAAAAAAAAAGATCCAGGGGCTGGGAAGTTGGCTCAGTGGTAGAGTGCTTGCCTTGCATGCATGAGGCCCTGGGTTCGATTCCTCAGCACCATATAAGCAGAAAAAAAAAGCCGGAAGTGGCGCTGTGGCTCATAGTGGTAGAGCGCTAGCCTTGAGCTGAAGAGCTGAGGGACAGGCCCAGAGTTCAGGCCCCACAACCGGACCAAAAAAAAAAAATTAAAAAAAAAAAAAAAGATCCATCTATTTATTGTCTCCAAAAAGCCCATCTCATCTCACAGTCAAAGATAAAAACATTCTAGGGATGAAAAAAGATCTTTCATGCAAATGCATCTTGCAAGAAAGTAGGAGTAGCAATATTGGTATCTGATAACATAGATTTTTTTTTTCTCTCTCTCTTTTTTTGTCAGTTGTGGGGCTTAAACTCTGGGCCTAGGCCCTGTCCCTGAGCTTTTCAGTTCAAGGCTAGTGCTCTACCACTGTGAGCCACAGCAACACATCCAGTTTTCTGTTGGTTAATTGGAGATAAGAGTCTCACGGGACTTTCCTGCCCAGGCTGGCTTTGAACCCAGATACTTAGATCTCAGTCTCTTGAGTAGCTAGGATTACAGGTGTGAGCCATTGGCTCCAGGCTAAAATAGATTTTTCATTAAAACCAATATGAAGATGGGCTGGGAAGGTGGCTAGTGGTAGAGTGCTTGCCTAGCTTGCATGAGGCCCTGGGTTCGATTCCTCAGTACCACACAAGCAAAAAAATCTGAAAGCTGTGCTGTGGCTCAGCTGGTAAGAGCGCTAGCCTTGAGCTGAAGAGCTGAGGGACAGCGCCCAGGCCCAGAGTTCAGGTACCACGACCGACAAAACAAACAAACAAAAAACACCCAATATGAAGAGACAAGGAAAGAAATTACATATTAATTCAAGGCAGTGATCCATGAAGAAGAAATCACAGTGGTCAATATATATGCACCAAATAATTGAGCCCCTAAAAACATTAAACAAACAGTATTGAACTTACAGAATATGGCATACCCCCGACACAATAATACTGGGAGATTTTAACACTCCACACTCACCAAAGGACAAGTCAACTACCAAACAAAAGTAAGCCAAAGGCAGGTGCCAACCCAGGCAGGAAAGTCCATGAGATTCTTATCTTTAATTATCCACACCAAAAAAAACAGAAGTGGCAGTGTGGCTCAAGAGGTAGAGTGTTCTCCTTGAACTGAAGAGCTCACAGAGGGCACCCAAGCCTAGAGCTCAAGCCCCATGCCAAAAAAAAAAAAAAAAGCAAAAAAACCTCTGAGGTAAATGACACCATAACCCAAATGGACTTAACAGATACTGAGTACTCCACCCAACAACTACCCCAGTTCACATTCTTCTCAGCAGTCCATGGAACATTCTCCAAAATTGATATCATAGGACACACAAAGATCCTAAGCAAATACAAGAAGATTGAGAGAATTCTTCGTATACTAAATCAAACTAGTTCTCAACAACAAAACATATTTCAAAAAACACTCAGCCGGGCGCTGGTGGCTCAGGCTGAGATCTGAGGATCGCGGTTCAAAGCCAGCCCGGGCAGGAGAGAGCGTGAGACTCCTATCTCCAATAAACCACCAGAAAACCGGAAGTGGCACTGTAACTCAAGTGGTAGAGCGCTCGCCTTGAGCTGAAGAGCTGAGGGACAGAGCCCAGGCCCAGAGTTCAAGCCCCACGACCGACCAAAAAAAAAAAAACACTCAAACTGGGCTGGGAAGGTGGCTCAGTGATAGAACGCTTGTCTTGCATGCTCCAGGCCCTGAGTTCGATTCCTCAGCACCACATAAGCAAAAAGAAAAAAGCCGGAAGTGGCGCTGTGGCTCAAGTGGTAAGAGTGCTAGCCTTGAGCTGAAGAGCTGAGGGACAGCGCCCAGGCCCAGAGTTCAGGCCCCACGACTGGACCCAAAAAAAAAAAAAAACAACACTCAAACACATGGAGACTGAATAACATAAAGGCCACATATCCAATATATACAAAGATCTCAAGAAATTAACCCCCGCATGTAACTAACCCCTCTATACAATATTAAAACAACAAAATATTTCACATTGAAGGCAGAATAAAAATATTCCCAAATAAAAGGAAAAAAAAAAAAACCTGACCCCCTTGCCAAACCTAATAAGCCAATCACTAAATGGACAAGGGAGCTAAGGAGAGACTTCTCAGAAGAGGTAGAATAGCAAAGAAACACATGAGGAAATACTCATCATCCCTGGCCATAAAAGAAGTACAAATCAAAACAACTGAGATTCCATCTTATCCCAGTAAGATTGGCCAACATTGTGAATTGGTGGAGATGTTGTGAAAAAGGAACCCTACTGCTGGGAATGCAAATCAGTATAAGCACTCTGGACTGCACTCCGGAAATTCCTCAAAAAACTAAACATAATCTGGGTGCCAGTGGCTCACACCTGTAATCCTAGCTACTCAAGAGGATGAAATCTGAGGACTGCTGTTAAAAGCTAGCCTGGACCCCAGAAAACCGAAGTGGTACTGTGGCTCAAGTGGTAGAGTACTAGCCCTGAGCTGAAGAGCTGAAGGACAGTGCCCAGGCCCAGAGTTCAAGCCCTATGACCAACAGGAAAAAAAAACTAAACTATAGACCATCCCTACAACCTGCCATTCCAGTCCTGAGCATCTACCCTGAACATCATGAGCCAGGATATGATAAAGATACCTGCACATCCGTGTTCATTGCCACACTATTCACAATAGTCAAAATATAGAAACAGCCCAGATGCCCTAAACTAGATGAGTTGATCCAAAAAATGTGGTACCTATATACAATAGAATTGCACACAGCCATTAAAAAGAATAAAATTATGCCATTTGCAGGGAACTAGAACAAACTATTGTAAGTGAGCAAATCATGGTTAAGCCAAGCTCAGAGCGACAAACGGCATATGTTTTCTCTGATATGTAAAAAATTAGATCTAAAAATCACTGGGATATGATAAATTGTACAGTATTCAAGATACTCATACATAGCCAGACCAGAAGAGGATATTCTTTGGAGAGAAACACAAAGGTGCAATACCTAAATGCCTCTTCATATTTATATAAAATTATATATATATTATTTATATTTTTTTTATTTATATATATATAAACAACCTCTAAGATGTGGAAACAAGAGATCTTTTTCTTCTTTTTTTTTTGCCAGTTATAGCGCTTGAAATTGGCCTGGGTGCTGTCCCTCAGCTCTTCAGCTCAAGGCCAGCACTCTACCACTTGAGCCACAAAGCCACTTCCAGTTTTCTGGTGGTTAACTGGAGATAAGAGTCTTCCGGATTTTCCTGCCCAGGCTGGCTTTGAACCATGAGCCTCAGATCTCAGCCTCCTGAGTAGCTAGGATTACAAGAGTGAATTACTGGCACCAGCTTCTTCTTCTTCTTTTTTTTTCTAATGATTCTGTCTTCTTTTCTTTATGTATGATATATTCATGTGTGTATCTTCAGGACGGTAGCAGGGAAGGTACAGAACTCGAGAGAAAATGGGTGAAAAAGTACAGCAGTAGAGGCTGACTGGAGACTAATGAATGTGAATATACAACCTGTGGGTGGAGATGGGAGGGAGGGACTGAGAGTGAGGGAACAGAAGGCACTGTACAAAAAGAAATGTATTCATTACCTGACTCATGTAATTGTAATTCCTCCATACATCACCTTTATAATAACAATAAATAAAAAAAGAAGCCAAGTACGAGTTCCAAAAATAATTAACAAAAAGCAGGGCTGGAGTGTTGATTTACATGGTAGAGCACCAGCCAAGTTAGCAGCAGGCCTTGAATTCAAATCTCACTGCTAAAAAAAAATAATTAAAAAGAACTTACTGCTCTGTATTTTGTTGAACACCACCAAGTGGTTTCTGAATGTTTTCACACTTTTTTTCCAAAGCAGAGAATCTGTCCTCCCAAAGACTGACTAACTGGCAGAGTTCCTATAGGGAAAGATATAAGAAAGGAAGACAATTGAAATTATGACTTTAAACATTTTCTTCAGTTCATGACTGATGACAAAGAAGCATTCTCCCATAGGTGAAAATTAGATAAATTATTGACGAGGTCTTTTAACTCCACCTCCCACACACACTGGAAAGCAATGAAAGTGAGGTTAAATGATTATTATTAAGGGATTTTTTTTTTTTTGCTGTCAGTCGTGGGGCTCCAACTCTGGGCCTGAGCACTGTCCCTTAGCTCTTCAGCTCAAGGCTAACACTCTATCACTTGAGCCACAGGGCCACTTCTGGTTTTCTGGTGGTTTATTGGAGATCAGAGTCTCATGGACTTTCCTGCCTGGTCTGGCTTTCAACAGCAATCCTCAGGTCTCAGCCTCCTGAGTAGCTAGGATTACAGTTGTGAGCCACTGGAGCTGAGCTTATTAAGGGACTTTTAAAGTAAGTAATCAGCAGATTTTTTTATGGTAACAAATTGCTGTCATTGTACTTCCAAATTAATCAAACACTTAGGTGGAGAAGGATTTAACAGATAAGATACACAGTGGCTTTTTTTTTTTTTTAAACTGGTAACACCACTAGAAGGGAAAGTTGATGCCGGTGACCTAATGGTTCAAACAAGCCAAATATAGTGATTATCTACTTTAAAAAATCTGTACATAATCCAATTGGGTGATATTAATAAATCATAAATAGAAACTGGTTTGTTTTTGCTTTGAGGTATTTGTTGGGGGTAGGGGAATAAGGGAGGTATCTCAGAAAGGGAGAGAGGAAAGGGGAATAAATGCAATCAGGCTATTCATGATACACTATGTAGAAAATGACCTATATAACTTTGTGAGCAGGGAAGAGAGAAAAAAACTGGGGTAAAACAAAGGAAGGGGTGACATTATAAGAAAAAAGGTACTTCATTATCTGACTTATGAAATAGAAAACCTTCTGTTCAACACCTTAAAGATAACAATAAGATTTTATTTTTTTTAAAAATTGCCAGGTGTTGGTGGTTCACAATGTAATCCTAGCTACTCAGGGGGTTGAGAACTGGTGAAGCTCACAGTTCAAAACCAGCTCAGGCAGGAAAGGCCATGAGACTCTTCAACACACTACTGAGAAAAAGCTGGAAATGGCATTGTGGCTCAAGAAGCTCAGGGATGAGGGCTGGGAAGGTGGCTCAGTGGTAGAGTGCTTGCCTTGCATGCATAAGGCCATGGGTTCAATTCCTCAGACTATATAACATTTTTAAAGTTTTTTGTGATTAAAATATAATCTTCAGCTACCTAGAAAATTCTGTTACATGTGATACTTCATTTTTCACTGATATTTAGTGAAATATTTCTATTGTATTAAGAATGAGTTATGGGGCTGGGAAGGTGGCTCAGTGGTAGAGTGCTTGCTTTGCTTGCATGAGGCCCTGGGTTCCATACCTCAGCATCACATAAGCAGAATATGCCAGAAGTGGTACTGTTGCTCCAGTAGTAGAGTGCTAGCCTTGAGCTGAAGAGCTGAGGGACATCAACCAGGCCCAGAGTTCAGGCCCCATGACCGGCACACAAAAAAAATTAAAGCTCAAAGACATCATCCAGGCCTTGAGTTCAAGTCCCAGGTCCAGCACAAAAAAAAATAAAAATAATGAATAGAGTCTTTTTTTTTTTTTTTTGGGGGGGGGGGGGGGGTCCGGTCGTGGGCCTGAATTCTGGGCCTGGCAGTTCTTCAGCTCAAGGCTAGCGCTCTGCCATTTGAGCCACAGCGCCACTTCCGGCTTTTTTCTTTTTGCTTATGTGGTGCTGAGGAATCGAACCCAGGGCCTCAAGCATGCAAGGCAAGCTCTACCACTGAGTCACCTTCCCAGCCCCGTGAATAGATTAAGTTTTGTTCATATTTGATATCATACAATGTGTTACTGGCACTTGATAGTTGATTTAATTTTTTTTTTGGGGGGGGGTCAGTTGTGGGGCCTGAACTCTGGGCCTGGGGGCTGTCTCTCAGCTCTTCAGCTCAAGGCTAGCCCTCTACCACTTGAGCCACAGCACTACTTCCAGCTTTCTGTTTATGTGGTTCTCAGGAATCAAACCCAGGGCCTCATGCATACAAGGCAAGCAACCACTGAGCCACCTTTGCAGCCCTTTGATTTACTTTTTTAAAGTGCTACCTGCCTATGCTGGGCACCAGTAGCGCACGTCTATAATCCTAGTTACTCAGGAGGCTGAGATTTGGAAACTGAGGTTTGACTAGCCAAAGCAAGAAAGTCTTTAAGACTTTATTCCCAATAAACCAGCAAAAAACTGGAAGTGGCAGTGTGGCACAAGTGGTACAGCACCAGCCTTGAGTTAAAAAAGCCAAGCAAGAGTACAAGGCCCTAAGTTCAAGTCTCAGTACTAACAAAAGATCTACCTCTCTATTTTATGCATTTCAAAACAGTTCATTTATAAAAAGCTGATCAGCCTTAAATGTGTGTGTGTGTGTGTATGTGTGTGTGTGTCTGTGAATGTATGTTTATGACAGATTTAAGGCAAACACTCTTCACAGTGATATAAGCAACTGCTGTGGACTTCAAATTCCAAGGACCATTTAGAAGAGGCACTCACAAATGGATGCCTTTCAGGCAGTATAATCATTCACCACCATCATCTGTACAATGAGCCACATGCTGTGAGAGCTCCCAGGGCCTCAGCTTCCTATTTAGAAAACTGGGCAAGTCACAGTATCTTTATCTTTGTTGATATTGATAGAAGAAATGAATATATACTAAGTTGGTTGCTCAATAATGTTCATTTGTTTTTCCTAATACTGAATATCAATGGTTCTGAAAGGGAAGATTGTTTTATTTCTTAGCCCATGATATTGAATGTCTTTGATCCTCTCATTTTGCATGTCATAGATGTACATATCTTTCCAAAGAAAAAGAACTCATTATTTAAGTTACAATGACCAATGAGTGTTGGCTTACAAAGCTTTTAATAAAGCTTTAATCTTTAAAAGCTGTTTTTATAATCAGTTAATAAAGTATAAAAAAATGTATTATTTAGCTGGCCCCAGTGGCTTATGCCTGAAATCCTAGCTACTCAGGAGGCTGAGATATGAGGATAAAAGTTCAAAGTCAGCACGGGCAGGAAAAGCCATGAAACTCTTATCTCCAATAAACCACCAGAAAACTGGAAGTGGCTCTGTGGCTCTAGTGGTAGAGCACTAGCCTTGAGCTGAACAGCTGAGAGACAGTGCTCAGGCCCAGAGTTCCAGCACCATAACTGACCAAAAAAAGTAAATTAATCAATTAAATAAATTATATATATATATATATATATATACATATATATATATATATATATGAAATTTAGACAGGTGCAGGTGAGTCACACCTGTAATCCTAGCTACTCAGAAGGCTGAGATCTGAGGATCACAGTTTGAAGCCTGCCCAGGGAGAAAAGTCCTATAAGACATCTCCAATTAACCACTCAAAAACCAGAAGTGGCACTATGGCTAAAGCTGTATAGCACTAACTTTGAGCACAAAAAGGCTCAGGGACAGTGTCCAGGCAGAGTTCAAGCCCCACAAATGGAAAATAAATAAATAAACATTGAAGATTGTGGCATGAAGCCATCCCAGGCAAAAAAGACTGTGAGACTCTTTATTTCCAATTAACCACCAAAAAACTGAAAGTGGAACTGTGGCTTAAGTGGTAAATGCTAGCTTTGAGCAAAAAGCTCAGTACCTGGGCCCTGACTTCAAGGCTGGACTGACACTAAATAAATAAATAAATAAATAACAAGAGTAAATTGCTGAAGGCATAACGTAAGTACTTCCTAGGAAGCAAAAGACTGGGTTCAATTCCCAGTACTTCAAAAAAAAATTTAGTAAAATGCAAATGTCTTTTGTCAATAATACAGAAATAAGAGCAAGCAGGACTTTAAAATAATGTCTTCCTAGAAAGAAGTAACTTACAAAATTACCTTTTACTTTAAACATTACAACTGCCTGCCTCTAAAGATTTGATGTTAACTCACTCACCTTTCACCTTGGTATGAAGACTTATTTTCCTAGTGTTTTTCAGGTCAGGGATCTACGTGAAGCAAATTCTCAAATATTGAGATATTAAATATTAAAAGAGGTACTCTATCACTGTACATTAAATACTACTATAATAACAGTGGCGGTGATCATTTCAGGTTTGTAAGGGTTTCACAGTATTCAGATCCTAAAACACTTTTTCACTCCCATGTCAGCTATGCATGATACCTGTGAGTGAGTCTGTTTCATCGTCTTCAAGTCTTCACTTAAGTTTTCACAACGTTTCTGTGATTCAACCAAGGAGGAAACAGTATTTTCTTGTAGCTCACGTAGATTGTCACATAACTCACTGAGAAAGCCATCTATTTCTTTTTTCTGATCTTCTATCTTTGAAGAAAAAGAAATCACTATCTTTTGTAAACAATGCATCAATTTTGAGATATGAACATTCTAACATCTGTTACCGTTTCAGCTACTGTCCACGAAGTCTTAAAGATGTGCTGCAGTTGTCTATTGATTTTCCATATAGACATCACAGAAGGGGATAAAATCCTTTCCAATGAACTTATAAGTTCAGTTGTAAGTTCGTTCTGGTTTAAAAATAAACAGGAAACAAGTCTTTGAGAATATTTTCATTTCATAAACTTAACTACTATTAGATTAAGACCTAATATAATACTTGAGCAAAGTGGCGCTGTAGCTCAAGTGGTAGAGCGCTCGCCTTCAGCTGAAGAGCTGAGGGACAGTGCCCAGGCCCAGAGTTCAAGCCCCACAACCGACAAAAAAAAAAAAAGTAAAAAAAAAATAATACTTGAGCAAGTAAAGATGCACATTCAAATTATGAAATAAAGTTTTCTGTTCTTTATATCCTACACTGAGATAGCTTTGTTTCTAGCACTTATATTCATCATAAATCATTTAGTTCTGCCTCTGGTAATTAAGAAAATGTTCATTCAGTGTATAGTAAATCCTTAAAGGAGTCTAATGGGCAAAAAAAAAGCCAAAAGAATTCAAAAGAGAAGTAAATGATAATCATTTGGTAAGATTTCAGCACTATGACATGAGCCCTAACACAGGTGAAGACAAAAAAAACAACCTATAGGTACATTTTAACGAAACAAATTTCAAGCAAATTTAGGTTACTGGCCATAAGAACAGAGTCCAAATACTCATGAAGGCTTTGGAGCCAGACACTGATAGTTCATGTCTACAATCTTAGGGAGGCTGAGGCCTGGAGGGGTGTGGGTCAAAAGCCAGCTAGCTAGGGGAGAAAAGTCTATGAGAGTCTATCTCCAGTTAGCTGTATTATAAAATCAGGTCTTCTTTCAATTCAAGCAATGTTTTTAACTAGTTATATAGAAAGACCACTGTTTTAGTATTTGAATTAATTCCTGAAAAGTTAGTAATAACAGGATATTTTAATTTCATCAAATTTGGTGCTCTATTTAGTTTTTGGTTTTTTTTTGTCGGTCGTGGGGCTTGAACTCTGGGCCTGGGCGCGGTCCCTCAGCTCTTCAACTCAAGGCGAGCGCTCTACCACTTGAACTACAGCGCCACTTCCAATTTCATCAAATTTGGATGACTGAAACCTATCAAGTAGTACCATATAAACACTGAATCTAGGCATAGAGCTAATATTTACCGTATTTACTTGAAAAATGCTAAATAAATGTTGTAACCCTCAAAAAAGGAGGCAGAGAACCTGTGCAAAGATAATAAATAAGCAGTATGGGCCAGTACTTCCTAGATATAATTACAGAATAAACCTACACATAAACCAAGTATGGAAGAGGTAATATTAATTGTAATTAAAGTTGTGATTTCTATACAATTGTGGAGAACAGCTTAGGAGTCAAGACCCAATAGGACTTTACCACACAAATCTAACCCAAAGAACTGTTATATATGGTCCTATAACTCTATTTGCTACGGTTCCTACATTACTATTACATATTATCATACTTTTAAAATTAACTACTTATCTCTACCTTCTGGTTGAGTGTAACACAACTTTCTAAGATTAAGACTAAACTAGAGTAAGGCTCTTATCTCCAATTAACCATTCAAAAAACAGAACTAGAGTTGTGACTCAAAATAGTAGAGCACTAGCCTTAGGCAAAAGAGCTCAAGAAGAGAGCTCAGGCCCTTGAGTTCAAGCCCCAAGACCAAGAAAAAACAACAACAACCAAAAAACAATAAATAAATATAAACATACTTTCATATTGATATGTCTCACTGGGTCTAGAAGAGCTTAAGATGGAGAAAAATTAATATTGTTTTTGATGACTTATCAAATGTAACCTTTTAAAATACATGGTATCTACCTTTGAAAATAGCATAAAATGATTGAAGTGAGGTGGTAAAGAGAGTAACAGATGAGGTTAATCTGATTAAATTATATTGTGAATTTCCATGGTGAGATCCTTTTAATATTGCCTTGAAAAAAGTGGAAAACATGAATGGCAGGAAAATAAAACAGGCTGTCAGGGACCAGCACCAAGGAGGGAAAATGGAAATGGTAAATGAGGGTTAATATAGTTAAAGTATTTTATATGCATGCATAAAATAAAATGACACCTGTTGAAATTGATTTAAGAAATGGGGGGATAACAGGGAAAATGGTAGCTCACACCTGTAATCCTAGCTACTCAGGAGGCTGAGATCTGAGGATCATAGTTCAAAGCCAGCCCAGGCAGAAAAGTCTGTGAAACTTGTACCTCCAATTAACTACCAAAAAGCCAGAAATGGCACAGTGGCTCAAAGTGGTAGAGAACTAACGTTGAGCACAAAAGCTCAGGGACAGTACCCTGAATTCAAGTCCTAGGACTGGCAGAAAAAATAAATAAATAAATAAGGGGCAAAGAACAAAGGAGATGGATGGTATAAGTTTGGGGGAAGGTTTTTGTTTGTCCTGGGGCATTAACTCAGGGCCTGGGCACTGTCCTGAACTTCTTTTGCTCAAGGCTAGCACTCTACCACACGAGCCACAGAGCCACAGCACCACTTCCGGCTTTTTCTGTTTATGTGGTACTGAGGAATGGAACCCAGGGCTTCATGCTTGCTAGGCAAACACTCTACTAATAAGCCACATTCTTAGTCCATATAGGGTGAGTCTGATCAAGTTACATTATATGCTTGTGTGGAAATGTCACACTGAAACCTTAAACAAATTGATGATGATGATGATGATGATGATGATGATGATGATAAGAGGCTCTCATTTTAACACTCATGAAGAACAGGAAATGTTTCTGTTTCTCCCTACTTTAACCCTGTGAAACTAAAATCAATATTTATTAAAATAAAAAAAAATAAAGAGATTTACTAACAATCAGTTTCTGCAGTACAGTTTTACTTTGTGATGCTAATGACTGCTCCTCTAAGATCATATTGGAAATGTGAGCAATATGAGCTGAAACAGTTTCTGGGACAGCTGTGAGAGATTCCAGTGAAGTTATGGTAATGGTGTCTAATGCAGAGACACTGGAAGACATCAGATTACCTGCAATAAAAACAAAGACAAAAACTTAGATATAAATAAACATAATTAAATGCAGTTAGGCTGGGCACCAAAGGCTCATGCCTGTAATCATAGCTTCTCAGGGGGCTAAGATTTGAGGATCACAATTTGAAGCCAGCCCAGGCAGGAAAGCCCATGACATTCTTATCTCCAATAAACTACTCAGAAAAAGCTAGAGGTGGTGTTGTGGCTCAAGTGGTATAGTGGTATCCTTGAACAAAAGGAGCTCAAGGACAGCACCTAAGCCCAGAGTTCAAGTCTTAGGACCAGCCCCAGCACCCCCCCAAAAAAAAAAATTTGGGTCACTACGTGAGGAAAGACTTAAAATATCTAGTATATATGTTCTATGATGTTCTGTAAGCCCTTGGCATATTTGTGAGTATATCAGACTCATAAAACATATTATAGCTGGTCACTGATGATTCATGCTTATAATCCTAGCTATGGGCCTGGGAAGGTGGCTCAGTGGTAGAGCACTTGCCTTGCAGGCATGAGGTCCTGGGTTCAATTCCTCAGCAACCATATAAGCAAAAAGAAAAAAGCCGGAAGTGGCATTGTGGCTCAAATGGTAGAGTGCTAGCCTTGAACTGAAGAGCTGAGGGACGACACCCAGGCCCAGAATTCAGGCCCCATGACCAGACCAAAAAAAAAATCCTAGCTACTCAGGCAACTGAGAGCTGAAGATCATGGTATGAAGCCAGCCCAGAGAAGAAAGTCTTATCGGGACTGGGAAGGTGACTCAGTGGTAGAGCACTTGCCTTGCATGCCTGAGGCCCTGGTTTCAATTTCTCAGCACCACATAAGCAAAAAGAAAAAAAGCCGGAATTGGCGCTGTGGCTCAAGTGGTAGAGAGCTAGCCTTGAGCTGAAGAACGAGGGACAGCACCAAGGCCCAAAGTTCAGGCCCCACGACCAGACCCCCAAAAAAAAAAAAAGAAAGTCTTATCTCCAATTAACCACCAAAAAGCTAGAAGTGGAGCTGTGGCTCAAATGATAAAGTGCTATCTTTGAACAAAGAATGACAGGGACAGCAACTAGGCCCTGAGTTTATGACCCAAGATCTACACTAAATAAATAAATAAATCCCAATGGAAACTAAATTAGAATATTCTGAAATATCTAAAGATACAGTATTACACTAGATGATAAAAGAATTTATGGAAGAACAAAGAATCAATACCAAAATTTATACTTGTTAGCTAAGGTGACTATAGTCTAGGTGATTTTTTTTTAATTTTTACATATCTTGATCTTCTAAATTTTCCATAATGAAAATTACAATAATATGAATACTTAAGAGTTTCATTTCGGGGCTGGGAAGTTGCTCAGTGGTAAAGTGCTTGCCTTGCATGCCTGAGGCCCTGGGTTCGATTCCTCAGCACCACATAAGCAAAAAGAAAAAAGCCGGAAGTGGCGCTGTGGCTCAAGTGGTAGAGCGCTAGCCTTGAGCTGAAGAGCTGAGGGACAGCGTCCAGGCCCAGAGTTCAGGCCCCGCGACCGGACCCCCCCCCCCCCAAAAAAAAGTTCCATTTCTAGCCAGGAGCCAGTGGCTCATGCCACTATTACTCAGGAGGGTGAGATCCGAGGATTGCTGTTCAAAGCCAGCCTGGATAGGAAAGTCTATGAAACTCTTATCTCCAATAAACCACCAGAAAACTGGAAGTGGTGCTGTGGCTCAAGTGGTAGAGCACTAGCCTTGAGCTGAAGAGCTGAGGGACAATGCCCAGGCTGAGTTCAAGACCCACGACCAACCAAAAAAAAAAAGTTTCATTTTTAAAAGAAAAGTTTAAGAATTATTAACATAGCAAACTTTCAACACACAATTCCAACCCCCCCCCCAAAAAAAAACAGACAGAAGTAGCAGGGAATATTTCTAGAAAGAGACCCAAGAAATTTAACAGTAAATCTGTAAAGAATGAAAATAGCGTTGGAGACCTCTAGGATTGGTTAAGTTCAAAGAAAATAAAAGCATTAGTCTCTAGCCTGAACAGCTTACATGTATTTTGGAAAGAGTACTTGTGACACAGTCACCTAAGGTGTCTCCCCACTCAGGGCTCTACTACTGAACTAGAAACATCCCAACCCCTTTGTATACTTTTGAAACAGGGTTTCCACTAAGTTACCCAGGCTAGCCTCAAACTCATTATGTAGCCTAAGCTGGTGTCAACCTTAATCTTCCTGCCTCAGCCTCTTGAGTACATAGAATTACAGGTCTGCACCACCACACCTAGAATGTATTTTGTTGGTTTTTACATTATTGTCAGTTTTTAAATTAGCCTCATTTAGTACATTTAGGCTAGGATAATGATCTGAGCATAGTGGTGCATACCTGAAATCCCAGCACGTGGGGGGGCAGCAGCAGAATTGTAAGGCCAGTTTGCACTGGCCTTACAAGACCATGCCAGGACACTATACTCCCACCAAAAAAAAATAAAAAAGAAGCTGGGTGCCAGTGTCTCAAGTCTATATCCGTAGTACTTGGGAGGTTGAGAGTGGAGGATTATGATTCAAGGTCAGTCCAGGCAAAAAAGTTTGTGAGGCCCCCTTCCCAACCCATACCTATCATGTTAAAAAAACTACATGGGAGACTGAGATTAGGACTGTTATGGTTCCAAGTCAGCCCAGGCAGAGAAGTCAGGAAGACTCCATCTCTATGGAGAGAAGATGGATATTAGTGGCATATACCTCTCATCTCAGCAGTGATAGGAAATTTAAAACAGGTGGATCATGTTTCGAGTGGTGGACGGGGGAGACACACCTAGACAGAAAGCAAGACCCTGTCTTAAAGACTAACTGAGAATAGGGCTGGAGCTGTGGCTCAGTGATAAAGCACCTGCCAGCCCTGAGGTTAAACATGAGGACCATTAAAAAAAAAAAAAAATAGAAAAAACAAACTTACCAAACAAGGTCTTATGAACTTCAAGTATGTCTTTTTGCTTTGAGCTGCCATCCTTAATCAATTCTTCCATATTATTAAATAGACTACTCAGATTTTTACCAAAAATATCCTGAGCTTCGGCATTGTATTGGTCGATTGCTTTCTTACGATCCAGTTTAGAATGAAGACCACATACATCTTTTGTAGTTTCTTCAACTGTGCTAAGCAACTACATAAAAAATTTTAAAATTAACAATGACAAGATAGAAAGATAGACAATTTAATGAACACCTTATCTCCCCTCCCCTAACAACCTATGCAAGGCAAAAAGATTTTTCAGGGGCTGGGAAGGTGGCTCAGTGGTAGAGTGCTTGCCTTGCATGCGCAAGGCCCTGGGTTTGATTCCTCAGCACCACATAAGCAGGAAAAAAGCTGGAAGGGGTGCTGTGGCTCAAGTGGTAGAGTGCTAGCCTTGAGCTGAAGAACTGAAGGACAGCACCCAGACCCAGAGTTCAAGCCTCATGACCAACAAAAACAAAAAGATTTCTCCAAATTATCACAGTAGTTGTGTTTGCTCAAAAATTTTTCATATCATGTTTTACCCCTGCCTCAAAAGTATATCTAATACAAAATTCAATAGTTCCATCATTAAAAGGTACTAAATTCTTTTTTTTTTTTGTCGGTCGTGGGGCTTGAACTCTGGGCCTGGGCGCTGTCCCTCAGCTCTTCAGCTCAAGGCGAGCGCTCCACCACTTGAGCTACAGCGCCACTTCCGGTTTTCTGGTGGTTTATTGGCGATAGGAGTCTCACAGTCTCTCCTGCCCGGGCTGGCTTTGAACCGCGATCCTCAGATCTCAGACTCCTGAGATTACAGGCATGAGCCACCAGCGCCCAGCTACTAAATTCTTTATGACTATTGAATTTTAATTGTCTTCACAAAGGAAAATTATTATAAAATGAAAACACATTATAAATGCCCACAAAACAGTTGCATTCTATTTTCAAAATTCCAAGAGTAGGTTTGTTTATGAAGACTTTACATACCATAACTACAACTAGTAAGAATCACTATCTATGTATAGACATTTTTACAAAAAAGAACCACAGGCACAGTTTTGTCAGCATATGCAGCTGATCTGCTGGAGTTGTCTTGGTAGCTTGGTTCCCAGGATGTTGATGTAGGGTTTACATGGTAGAAATGAAGCCCCTGGATACTAGATTTGTATTTTATTATACTAATAATTCACTCTAAGGGTACAGATGGGGCTAGCTAAAGGGGCCTGATCTTCTTGCCAGACCCCTTCCATCTAAATCTTCTGGAGTCCCTTTATTCTTTTTTTTTTTTTTGCCAGTCCTGGGGCAAAACTCAGGGCCTGGGCACTGTCCCTGAGCTTCGTTTGCTCCAGGGTAGCACTCTACCACTTGAGCCATAGCACTGCTTCTGGCTTTTTGTTTATGTGGTACTGAGGAATGGAACCCAGGGCTTCATGGGTGCTAGGCAAGCATTCTACCACTAGGCCACATTCCCAGCCCTCTCCTTTTTTACTTAATTCACTAACTCTAGTAATGAAAAAAGAATGAAATAGTAAAAAATAGTGTTGTTTAAAATTGTAAGACAATCATTTGAAATAATTAAAGAAAATCCCACAATTAACGAAGTAAATTTATTCATACCCATCCATTATGAGTATTAGGGCTTTCTGCTTGCTAAGCAAGCAGTTAAGCCACACCTCTAGCCCTTTTTGTTCTGGTTATTTTTGAGATAAAGTCTTGCTTTGTCCCTATGTCAGTCTGGACCTTGAACCTCCAACTTTCTGCTTATCTAGGATGATAGTCACTGAGTAAGCTCAACTTCTTCCATTGAGATGGGGATCTTTGTCTAGGCTGGCCTGGAACTGCAATCTCCAGCTCAGTGGTGTAGTTGGAACAACAGGTATGTTCTCTGCCTCCAGCTATGAACTAGTTATGTTGGTGTCTCACAGAGTTTTTGCCAGGCAGTCCTGGAAACCTAATCCTCCCAATCTCTGCCTCCAAAATAGTATTACTCAGGTAACAGCCCACAGTACCAGGGCTATCCTTTATTTAATACTATTACAAAACAAAACAAAGGACAAACCTGGCTGGCAACATCATGAAGTTTCTCTTCAGTACTTTCCAAAGCAGAAGAGACATATTCTTCTTTAACAAGCTGTAATTTAGTTTCTTGCAGATGTTTCTGAGTGGTTTCAAGTTCCTGTGTCTTATTTTGCAGTTCAGATTTACATTGGTCAAGTTCATTTTTATTATCCACAAACAACTCTGTAACCTATATATAGTACATTAAGCATTTCTTTAAGAATTGAAAGTGTTAAAATGGTTAGTCAGACACCTGGCTAGTTCATAATATACTAGGAAAAAAGAATAAATTATTCTCATATTAAAATTACAAGTTACCAGACAGGTTAACATATTTTATGTAATATCTGGTTTCTTTCTATAAGCTTATTCAAAACTTAGAGAATTACATGTCAACATAGTACTATTAATTCTTCAGATCCTGCCACTGTCAGTAGATCTGTACCACAAAGGTGTTAATGTGAGGATGGCATCAAAGTTCAAGTCATTGACTAAGCTAGACCTAGCTATTACTTTTATTAAACACCTAGTTTCTCCCAAAACCTGTATTTCTTCATGTAACAAACATGTTATCAAAAAGGCCTCGGTAATGACACTTCCAAGCTTTAACAACAAAACCTCACAATCCAGTAAGATATTTGTCATGTAATGATGCCTCAGTCAACAACAGATTATATATACAGCAATGGTCCCACAGATAATAATGGAACCTGGAGTTAGGAGTGTAGTTCACTCATACAGTGCTTGTCTAGCATGCCCTAGGTTTAAATTCCAGCAAGGCCAAGAGGAAAGAAAAACTGAAATTATAATGGAGCTGAAAAATTCCTGTCACCTAGTGATGCCACAGTGGTTATAAAGTAGTACTATAATGTCTTACCCATGTTTGTGGTAATGCTAGGTAACCAAGTCTACTGTGCTGCTCATTGTGTAAAAATGTAACATACAGCTGGGCAATAATGGTTCACTGTAATCCTAGCTACTCAGGAGGCCAAGATCTTAGGATATTTTTTTTTTTGGTCGGTCGTGGGGCCTGAACTCTGGGCCCAGGCGCTGTCCCTCAGCATTTCAGCTCAAGGCTAGTGCTCTATCACTTAAGCCACAGCACCACTTCCAGCTTTTTCTGCTTATGTGGTGCTGAGGAATCGAACCCAGGGCCTCATGCATGCAAGGCAAGCACTGTACCACTGAGCCACCTTCCCAGCCCAAGATCTGAGGATCTTGTCTGAATTCAGCCTGGGCAAGAAAGTCCATAAGACTCTTATCTCCAATTAACTACCAAAAAGCCAGAAACAGAGCTGTAGCTCAAGTGATAGAGCACTAGCCTTGAGCAGAAAAGGTCATGGACAGCACCCAGATCCCCTGAGTTGGAGCTCCATGACTAACAAAAATAAAAAAAACAAAACACATAACTTACATACAGACCATAATACTGAGAACAACAAATGCCACTGACTCATATATTTGCTATAGTGTACATTTTAGAGCATACTCCTTCTACTTAAGGAATAGGAGCTGAGAACTAGCCTCAGCAGGCCCTTCAGAAATTAAAGAAGAGAAGGCTCAGGCTCGTGTGTGGCACCCTGAAGACGTTCCCATTGAGACAAGATGGGAGGTGGAAGTCAGGGATTATATGTATGTTTGTACCTTAGCAAACATACTTTTTTGTTTTTTGCAGAGGATTGAACTCAGGGCCTTGTACTTGCCAGGCAAGTGCTCTTCACTGAGCTAAATCCCCAATCTTTGCACCTTAGCTTTTAAAAAGTTTAAAAAGTGGGGGGGGGGGGGGGCTGGAAATTTGCTTAAAATGGTAAGAGTGCTTGCCTACCATTCATGAAGCCCTGGAATTGATTCCTCAGCACCACATAAACAGAAAAAGCCGGAAGTGGCGCTGTGGCTCAAGTAGTAGAATGCTAGCCTTGAGCAAAAAGAAGTTCAGGGACAGTACCGAGGCCCTGAGTACAAGCCCTAGGACTAGCAAAATGTAAAATTAAATTAAAATAAAATAAAAAGTTTAAAAATTATATCCTAGACATGTAGTAGGCTCATGCAGTGTGCTCTGATGACGAAATCACCTAGCAACACATTTCTCAGAACATATCCCAGTCATTAAATGGCATCTGACTGTAATTCTGGCAATGTATTCATTCAAGTGTCAAAGCCTTTTCATCATCATTAATGGGTGTAAAATTATGATACAACTTTTGTTCAGTATGAGAGTTGGCAAGAAAGAAAATCCTTAAAGAATGTGTCAGATCTCTAACATCCTAAAATTTTAATATTTGCTTTTCTTATAATATGAAATTTTGTTTTGAATGCTTACCCTACTTAGCTCCTCTTCAAGAGCACCAATTTTTTCAACCAATTCAACAATCTGTTCTTCTTGAACAGTTAATTTTCCATTCATGACTCTAAAGTGAAATTTAAGTTAGTAATTGTTCTAAATCCAACAAAATATTTCACGGAGAATTACAGCAATTACACAAACTCTTTTCTACCCTTATGATAATTATGACAACCACACAATCATTGGTGCTGTGGAACAATAAATGCAAATGACACAGGACAAATGAACTAACAGTCTTTGTTTTATAAATGGATTGTTTTTTTTCCTTTTGACTCCATTCTGACACTAAGAATCCCTACTGAGGGAAAAGTGTGTGTATATTAAATAAGAGTAGCTAAATTGGGGACAATAGCTCAGTGGTAGGACATTTGCCTAACATCACCAAAAAATAAGTAAATAAATAAAAATAAAAAATACTTCTTTTTAGAGCTAGAAATCTGATATAAAATTAAAATTCACTTAAAGCAGTGATGGGGACAAGAGGACACAATCTGAGCATCTATAATCAGGGCTATGAAAAAAAGATAAAGATGCCCCTCTTCCCCAAATGCTAGAAAGGCTTAAGACTTGAAGGTACGATGTACTGCAAGAGGAAGGGGTAAGATAAGCAGCTGAAAATACTTGGAGGTCTGAATTAAAGTAAGTACACAGAGCAATATTGCCTCACAACACCTGCATGTAATGCCTTCCCAATACTAACATAACTATCACACTACCACATAAACCCTAGGCAATCAAAAAAGGGTTATCTCGGGGCTGGGAAGGTGGCTCAGTGGTAGAGCACTTGCCTTGCATGCTCGAGGCCCTGGGTTCGATTCCTCAGCACCACATAAGAAAAAAGCCAGAAGTGGCGCTGTGGCTCAAGTGGTAGAGTGCTAGCCTTGAGCTGAAGAGCTGAGGGACAGCGCCCAGGCCCAGAGTTCAGGCCCCACGACCGGACCCAAAAAAAAAAAAAGGGTTACCTTCTCAGTCTCAGCACCAATGACATTCTGTACTACATACGTCTTTGTTCTGGGGATATCCTGTGCATATTAGGAAGTTTAGTAATAGTGTTCATCTCTCTCTGTACTAGATGTCACCAAGTAACTCCATCTCCACAACTATAATCACCAAACAACAAAAGGGCTGGAGATGTGGCAGCCCAGCCCACCCCCCCCTCCCCCCCCCCCCCACACACTTTAACCAGAGTGGCCCACACCTATATTTCTAGCTACTGGAGAGTCCAAAATTAGTAACTCCATCTCTACAACGATAGTCACCAAACAACAAAAGGGCTGGAGATGTCGCAGCCCAGCCCCCCCCCCCCACACACACACACACTCATTTTAACCAAAGAGTGGCCCACACCTATATTTCTAGCTACTTGAGAGTCCAAAATTGGAAGGATCTCATTCTGGATTAAAAAAAAAAAAGTTAGTGATAACCCCATCTTAATCAATAAAAACCTATTTGTCCTAGCAGCTATGTGGGCAGCATAAATAGGAGATCACAGCCCAGGCCTGAAAGGGCAAGACCAGACCCTACTGAAAAATAAAGCAAAAATGACTGGGTATGTAACTCAAGTGATAAGGCACCTACCTAGCAAGCACAAGGCTCTGAGTGCAAGCACAAGGCTCTGAGTTCAAACACCAGTACAAACCATTTCTTGCCCACAAGTTTGAATATGCTGGGTTTCCTCTAGGGGGCAACCTTTTCCTATTCCTGAAGCCACTGTCCATAGTAACAACATGAGAAATTCCAGCTTCCCTTTCATTAACTACATATACAATGGAGGGTATAGAAGTAAGGTTTAAGATCTGGAAACAGCCATCTGAGTGAAAATCTATGTAGTGAATGGTGGGATCCTTAGTCCTTATAGAGCTCCTCTAATACATTATCAGAGGCCAGAGTAATCTGGAAGCAAAAAGACCTTAACTAAGATTATTGATGGAAGCCCAGACTAATACTTTTTCTACCCTATAATAAACCTATTAAGTCTATAAAATATACATACACATGCTCTAATAAGCATGCTACAGCAAATTGGGAAGAGATGGTAATGGATATCCCAAAGAAAAGGGAAAAAAAGAAAAATTCAATAGCAATATAACTTTTCTGAGCTAAAGACTTTTATCTGTAATAGTGCTATATATTTATAGGGTGGGGAAGAAAGCCTTTGAAAACAAAAATTTGACAGTAAAAATAAAATTCAACAAGATAGTAAAAAAATTATTAAAAGTAGAATAAAATCAAAGCATCATCAGCTTTTTTTTTTTCTGTGGGTCATATGGCTTGAACTCTATGCCTGGGCTCTGTCCCTCAGCTCTTCAGCTCAAGGCAAATGCTCTACCATTTCAGCCACAATGCCACTTCTGGTTTTCTGAGTGGTTTATTGGAGATCAGAGTCTCATGGACGTTACTGCCCAGGCTGGCTTTGGACCGTGATCCTCAGATCTTAGCCTCCTGAGAACCTAGGATTACAAGCATGAGCCACTGGTACCCAGCATCATCATCTTTTTTAACCACAAAACATGCAGTCTTTCCAGAATGACTTTAATGAGACTTTTCAGTATTATAACCATACCTTGTCTCAACTAATACAAAAACAAAAACAAAATAAATGAACAACTAAAAAATATTCTTGAAAATCAACTCTATAGCCAGAAACTTACTTAAAATTTTCTTCAGAAATATATACTCCATTTTTCTCCCGGGCTGCAGCAAGATCTCGTTTCAGACGCTCTATCTCTTCTGTATACTCCTATACAAGAGGAACAGTGTAGATGTTAAGTTAGTATTTTTTAAAAATTCAGTTTGAGAAGCATATGCAACAAATAAAGTTAGCCTTTTATGGCTTTTACCTCAAAACTAAAGATATAATAAAAGTTTCAAATTGCAACAAGATGTTATGTCGAAAAATGAACTTTACAACTTTGGGGGGAGAGGGAGAATAGGAAGGGGTGGGAAGGGGAAACAAAGGAGGAGGCTACAATGCTTGGTAAGAAATGTACTCATTACCTTGCCCATGTAATTGTAACCCCTCTGTATGGTATTTTCACAATAAAAAATTTTTTTAATAAAAAATATTTTAATTTTAGTAAAAATTTTAAATTAAAAAATTTTTTAAATGTTTCAACTGTTCTTTTTGTTTTTGTTTTTTGTCAGTCATGGGGCCTGAACTCTGGGCCTGGTCACTGCCCCTAAGCTCTTTAGCTCAAGGCGAGCTTTCTACCGCTTGAGCCACTTCCTCAACTATTCTTTTAAAGCAATATTAACTTGCATAAAAAGTTTTTCACTGGTCTTCAAATCTCTTTTAAGTGTACTCATTATAAACTTCCTTTAAAAACTATTCAATTTCAGCTGGGAAGGTGACTCAGTGGTAGAGCGCTTGCCTTGCATGCATGAGGCCCTGGGTTCGATTCCTCAGCACCACATAAGCAGAAAAGCTGGAAGTGTAACTCAAAGCTATAGCTCAAATGGTAGAGCGCTAGCCTTGAGCTGAAGAGTTGAGGGACAGCGCCCAGGCCCAGAGTTCAGGCCCCACAACTGACAAAAAAAAAAAAAGAAATCATCAAATTCAAAACTTTTAATATGTGACTATATAAATCTCACCCTAAAGACAATAAATAGAGTTTATAAATAAATAAATGCAGATTTAGCCAAAGGTACCACCTGAGTTAACAATCTGATAAAGTCAACATATTAGTCCCAGAAAAAAGCCTTTACTTTAAATCTAAATGGCTACCACAAAGGGCTAGGAATGTAGCTGAGGGATAGAGTGCTTGCCTAGCATTTTCAAGGATCTCAGTTCAGTTTCAGCACTAAAGAGAGAAAAATAGTAATAATAATCATAAGGGGAAAAAATGCCTTTTACTGAGCTAACAAAATGCCATTTCAACAACAAATAACCATGTCAAGCAATTTAACAAATCTTTTTTTTTGTCGGTCATGGTTCTTAATGAATTTTTTTTTTTTTTGGTGGGGGGAGAGGGCAGTCCTGGAGTTTGAACTCAGGGCCTGGACACTGTCCCTGAGCTTCTTTTGCTCAAGGCTAGCACTCAACCACTTGAGCCACAGTGCCACTTCCAGCTTTTTCTTTTTTTTTTTTTGGTCCGGTTGTGGGGCCTGAACTCTGGGCCTGGGCGCTGTCCCTCAGCTCTTCAGCTCAAGGCTAGCACTCTACCACTTGAGCCACAGCGCCACTTCCGGCTTTTATCTTTTTGCTTATACGGTGCTGAGGAATCGAAACCCAGGGCCTCATGCATTGCAAGGCAACTGCTCTACCGCTGAGCCACCTTCCCAGCCCTGGGTCATGGTTCTTAAACTCAGGGTCTGGGCACTGTCCCTGAGCTCTTCAGTTCAAGGCTAGCACTCTACCACTTGAGCCACAGTGCCACTTCCAGTTTCCTGGTGGTTAACTGGAGATAAGAGTCTCATAGACTTTCCTGCCCATGCTGGCTTTGAATCACCATCCTCAGATTTCAGCCTCCTGAGTAGCTAGGATTATAGGCATGAGCCACTGTCACCCGGTAACAAATCTTTTTAAACAAATGGTCTATTTCTTACTTCTTTTCACATGCCAAACAATATTACATTGATCCACAAAAATTCAAAATTACCTTAATAAGAGCTTTTTTGGTGAGTTTCTGATTAACTTCAGGCTTATTCAATATGTTCTTTGCTCTATGAGCATATTCCAATGTGCTCAAAGTTTCCTGTTATGAAAAGTCAATTAGTGAAGACATTATGAGGATAATAAACTTCTACCACCTAGAAAGTACTGTATAACCAACAGTCATTTATGGCTATATTTAATTTAAAAATCTATTCATTAAGGTAATATCCAACTTTTTTATCCTTCCTTTTTTAGCAACTTCTTTCTTATTTTTCTGTCCAACTTTATATTTTCTATTTTTTCTTAATAATTTTATATGGAAAACTGTTAAATAATTTGCATTTTAATGTTACAACCTTTTTCAGTGATTCCTCTTTCATTTTGTATAGGTCTATATGTGATGCGCCGAATGAAAGAAGCTAGTAAATGAACTTTCAAATGCTTTATAGATAAATTATAGTTCCTGTTCTTGTAGCTTCCTTTCAAAAGGCTTACCTCCAAATTGAAAGATGCAGGAGAAATTGTTGCAATTATAGATGTTTTTGTTCGTCCCCCAAGGGAATCTTGGAGGATCCTAGTTAGTTTAGACTCTCGGTAAGGAACGTGAGGGGTTCTTTCTACAAGGGCAGTAATGACTCTCCCCAAAGTCAACAGTGATTGATTGATATTTCCAGCTTCTCGAGCTCTCTTGTCAACAGCTCCAGAACGACCAATGTTTTCACTTCCTGCAAGATCAACCTTTGATTTTAAAAATAAGAAGTTATTATACTGGACTTGGATCCAAAGACTTTTATATCCAATAGCCAGTCCTGGGGATTGAACTCAGGGCCTGGGCACTGTCCTCTGAGTCTCTCAGTGCTCAAGGCTAGCACCCTACCACTTGGGCCACCCTACCACTTGGGCTGAGTAGTTTATTGGAGATAAGAGTCTCATGGAGCAGGGCACCTGTAATCCTAGCTACTCAGGCTGAGATCTGGGGATCATGGTTCAAAGCCAGCCCAGGCAGGAAAGTCTGTGAAACTCATCTCCAATAAACCTAGAAAACCAGAAGTGGTGCTGTGGCTCAAGCTGTAGAGTGCTCACCTTGAGTTGAAGAGTACAGGGACAGCGCCCAGGCCCAGAGTTCAAGCCCCATGACTGACAAAAAAGAAAAGAAAAGAAAAAAAAAGTCTCATGGAGGAGCTGGGAAGGTGGGTCAGTGGTAGAGTATGTGACTCACATGCATGAAGCCCTGGATTCCATTCCTCAGTACCAGGTGGCACTGTGGCTCAAGTGATAGAGCGCTAGCCTTGAGCTGAAACGCTCAGGGACAGCGCTCAGGCTGAGTTCAGGCCCCACCAAAAAAAAAAACTCGTGGACTTTTCTGCCTGGGCTGGCTTCGAACCATGATCCTCAGATCTCTGCCTCCTAAGTAGCTAGGATTACAAACATGAGCCACCCCAGTGCCCAGAACAAAATTTTCTATAACAAATTTCTTTTCCCACTCCCCAGATAATGACCATGTGTCTACAAAATATTGTTCATAAGTATAAGACTTCAAGTTGCTCTATGAGAGGAACAAGATAAAACAGTAGCAATTAAGGTGGATGCTTACCAAGTTCAGCTTCCCAATTTTAACAAGCTCTTCTCCATCAATTGTTGTTTCTTTCATATGTATTGTAACAGAGAAAACTGAGTGGGAACGACTAGAAAACAAGATAAAGTTGCCTGCTCATTATAATGTAAAACACTTTTGCCTCCTATAATACTAAAAACAGGAAAGATTTAAAGTCATAGAAGAAATTATCAAACGGAAAATATAAAAAACATGGGGGTGCGGGGGGAGGCTGGGAAGGGATGGGAAGGGGAAACAAAGGAGGAGGCTACAATGCTTGATAAGAAATGTACTCATTGGGGCTGGAAAGGTGGCTCAGTGGTAGAGTGCTTGCCTTGCATGTATGAGGCCCTGGGTTTGATTCCTCAGCACCACATAAGCAAAAAGAAAAAAGCCGGAAGTAGCGTTGTGGCTCAAGTGGTAGAGCACTGGCCTTGAGCTGAAGAGCTGAGGGATAGCGTTCAGTCCCCATGACCGAACCCAAAAAAAAAAAAAAGAAAGAAAGAAAGAAATGTACTCATTATCTTGCCCATGTAATTGTAACCCCTCTGTACAGTATTTTCACAATAAAAAATAAATAAAATAAAATAAAATATAAAAAACAACAAAAACAAAAAACAAAAAAAGGGCTGGGAATATGGCTTTGTGGTAGAGTACTTGCCTAGCATGCACTAAACCTTGGGTTCAATTGCTCAGTACCACATAAACAGAAAAAGCCAGAAGTGGTGCTGAGACTCAAGAGGTAAAGCATTAGCCTTGAGCACAGAGAGGCTCAAGGACAAAGCCAAGGCACTGAGTTCAAGCCCCAGGACTGGCAAAAAAAAAAAACTTTATAAGACAGAAAACAGATGGAACAATGCTTAGGTTTGTGTGTTTGTTTGTTTGTTTTGCCAGTCATGGGGCCTGAACTCTGGGCCTGGGCGCTGTCCTCAGCTCTTCAGCTCAAGGCTAGCGCTCTACCACTTGAGCCACAGTGCCACTTCTGGCTTTTTCTGCTTATGTGTTGCTGAAGAATCGAACCCAGGGCCTCATACATGCAAGCCAAGCACTCTACCGCTGAGCTACCTTCCCAGCCCTGTGTGATTTCTTATATATCTGCTGCCTTCAGAGGAAACACCAGTAATAAGCTGCCCAAAAATATCATAAAAGATGGGCTGGGAAGTTGGCTCAGTGGTAGAGCGCTTGCCTTGCATTCATGAGGCCCTGGGTTCGATTCTTCAGCACCACATAAGCAAAAAGAAAAAAGCCGGAAGTGGCGCTGTGGCTCAAGTGGTAGAGCGCTAGCCTTGAGCTGAAGAGCTGAGGCCCAGAGTTCAGGCCCACGACCCGACCCCCCCCCCAAAAAAAAAAAAATCATAAAAGAATTTCCAAGCTCTTTTGAAAGATGAACAGTTACCCATGGTATCAGAGAAGATAGCTCTCTACTAATCTTTCTTTTTTTTTTTGTCAGTTGTGGAGCTTGAACTCTGGGCTTGGGTACTGTCCTTGCGCTCTTCAGCTCAAGGAGAGCACTCTACTGCTTGAGCCACAGTGCCACTTCCAGTTTTCTAGTGGTTTATTGGAGATAAGAGCCTCATAGACTTTACTGCCCGGGCTGGCTTTGAACTATGATCCTCAGATCTCAGCCTCCTGAGTAGCTGCTATTACAGGCATGAGCCACTGGTGCCCAGCTTCTACTAATCTTTCTGTTCCTAAAAAACTCTTGGGATATGCTGTTACCATAAGTTCAAGCACTAGGTAAACCATCAGATTATTCTTCATCCATGTCAGCTGTTGTATATGCACAAGGATATTTCTCTACCTTGAGAATGTAATCAGAAATAAGTAATTGGTGCCAGCTGGGCACTACTGATTCCTGTCTACAATTCTAGCTACTCAGAAGGTTGAGATCCAGAACCAAAGTTCAAAGCCATCTGGGGCAGAAAAGTTTGCAATATACTTATCTTCAATTAACCAGAAAAAGAGGGAAGGGAAGGAGAAGAGTAACTCCTCTGAATAGCAGAAAGAATCAACTGCATAATTGCTGAAACATTATAAAATAGGCCCCGCTAGGCTGGATGCCAGTAGCACACAACTGTAATCCTAGCTACTCAGGAGGCTGAGATGTGAGGATCACAACTGAAAGCTAGCCTAGACAAAAAAGTCTGAGACTCTTATCTCCAATAAACTACTCAGAAAAGCTGGAAGTGGTACTGTGACACAAATGGTAGAGAGCTATCCTTGAGAAAAAACAGCTCAGCCCCTGAGTTCAAGTCCCAGGACCTCTACACACACCCCAAAAAAAAAAATTCCCACTAGATCTTATGCTAAATAATGATTGCAGTTTGTTTTTGTCGGTCTTGTGGCTTGAACTCTGGGCTTGGGCGCTGTCCCTGTGCTCTTCAGCTCAAGGCAGGCGCTCTACTGCTTGAGCCACAGTGCCACTTCCGGTTTTCTGGTGGTTTATTGGAGATAAGAGTCTCACAGACTTTCCTGCCTGGGCTGGCTTTGAACTGCAATCCTCAGATCTCAGTCTCTGAGTAGCTAGGATTACAGTCATGAGCCACCAGCACCCGGCTATGACTTCAGTTTTGATCTAAGGAAAAAAAAAATTATACAGATGATCAAAGATACCTTTTTTTTTTTTTTGTCGTTCATGGGGCTTGAACTCTGGGCCTGGGCGCTGTCTCTGAGCTCTTCAGCCAAGGCTAGTACTCTTACCACTTGAGCCCAGTACCACTTCCAGCTTTTTCTGCTTATGTGGTGCTGAGGAATCCAGCTCAAGGCTAGCGCTCTATCACTGGAGCCAGAGGCCACTTCCCGTTTTCTGGTGGTTAATTGGAGATAAAGAGTCTCAAGGACTTTCCTGCCCATGCTGGCTTTGAACCTCAATCCTCAGATCATAGCCTCCGGAGTAGCAAGGATTACAGGTGTGAGCCACCAATGCCCAGCCAAAGATACCTTTTTATGTTAGTGGCAATTGATGAATATTATTACTTTGTTAATGTCATTACTGGAGAAAATGTTTTTTGTGCTTTTCATGGTATTTAATAAGTACTTTCAATATATTTTTTTTTTTTTACAAATTTTCTTCTTAAATTACAGGAAAAGGGAAGTTACAAAAAAAAAACAAAAACTGCCGGGCGCCTCATGCATGCAAGAGAAGCACTCTACCACTGAGCCATCATCCCAGCCCCATCATTACCCAATTCTAATCCATGATATGGAATTAATGCAAATAGGCATAGAAATCCTCTCTGATTTGGGAAGAGTTAATTTTTCTTTTTCTTAACAAACACAGTCATAAAAAGTGATCTTTGGGACTGGGAAAGTGGCTCAGTGGTAGAGTGTTTGCCTCGCATGCATGAGGTCTTAGGTTCAATTCCTCAGCACCACATAAGCAGAAAAAGCCAGAAGTGGTACTGTGGCTCAAGTAGTAGAGCACTAACCTTGAGCTGAAGAGCTGAAGGACAGTGCCCAGGCCCAGAGTTTAGGCCTACAACCGACAAAAAATAAAAATAAATAAAAAAATAAAAAGTGATCTTTATACTGGGCACCAGTGGCTCACATCTTTAATTCTAACTACTCAGGAGGCTGAGATCACAAGATCCAGGTTCAAAGTTAGCCCAAATAGAAAAATCCATGATACTCTTATCTCCAATTAACCAGTAAAAAGCTAGAAGTAGAAAGTATTTCTTATACTTTGCAACCAAAGATTGCAAATTAGGTTCTATGCATCACTAAAGGTTAATAAGAGCTACACCTAAGTGCCTAAGAAGCCATCTTCATATGCATCACTAAAGGTTAATAAGAGCTACACCTAAGTGCCTAAGAAGCCATCTTCATAAGGTAGGAGCAGTTAGTCTTTGTGCACACCATCTCAAGATTGACTAGAGCAACCACATTTTAATTTGGCCTTCCATGCATGATTTCATTATTTTGTTTTTTGAGACATTGTCTTTTTATGTAACCCAGATTAGATTTGAAGTCATGATCTTCCTCCCTCAACCATCAGTACTAGGATTACAGATGTGATAACAACATGTCTGGCATATAATTACTTTGAAATAAAGAATTCTGCTTAAAGTTAGTTTAATATTTTTGGTCTATTTCAACTTATCATTGCGCTCCTTTCAATATTCCTTCAATATCAGTGCCCTCTTTATAAATCCAAAGCCAGTTACCAAGGCACCAAGTCTTCATATGTGACTCAATACTGTGACCCACCCCAATTTGACTTAAGTTGCTACTTTTTTACTTAAAAGGAAAACAGAGCTAGGGAAACTTTTTACCTGGAATATGCGTTCATCAAAGTGGCTGCAGTTGTCCTTTTTGCTGCCCCCTTCTCCAAAATGTGATAAACTTCATCTTTGTTGTGTACTGTAATTTCTTCTAAACCTTTGATTATCACTGCCCTCTGACCAAGTATCAAAAGAACAACAATTAGATTGTTTTTTCCTAAAAGACTTACACATTAAAATTTAGAAACATTGCATTCTCAAAACTGAGTTACCTTGTTACGGGGATCATCAAACATCTGCAGTCTCTCAGATACATCAGAAGATGGATTAAGAAGATCAAAAAGTTCTTCATTATAGATTTCTAACAGAGATACTTTGACTGAAAATTCAGTGCCATTAGCACTTAGTTTCTCAAAAATTTGGTGAAGGGTACGAGGAATTATACCAGCCAAAGGATCCTAAAACATATTAACAATAATTATTATTATATATACTATTAGTAAAGATTATAGTAAAGAATGCTACTCACTGCAGTAGCTAAAACATGTAACAAGGAACTCCTATTTTATTTGTTTGCAATACTAAAGATTGAACCCAGGACTTTGTGCTTGGTAGTTAAGTGTTCTTCCACTATGCTATGGCTTTTATCTTTTCTGTTTTGAGAAAGGGTCTCAGTAAGTTCCTCAGGTTGACCTTGAAATTATGACCCTCCTGCTCCAGCATCTTGAGTAGCTAGCTGGGATTACTACTGTGTGCCAATATGCCCAGTTATATGTAAATAGAAAATATTCGGGGGGAAAAAGAAAAAAAGAAAACCCACTTCATCTACACTGAGTCACTGTTTTCCCTTGTCATTGTTCCCTAAACGATGCAGTGAAATAACTATTTACATATCATTTGCATTGTGTTAGGTATTATAAGTAATTTGGAAATTATTTAAGGTATATGAAAAAGAATGTAAGTTATTGGCAAATACTATATTGTTTGACAAAAAAAAAAAAACTTGAGCACCCTTGGATTTTGGTATGAGGAAGGATCCAGAACCATCATGCCACCCCCACCAAGGATACCAAGAGACAGCTATACACCAAAGTAAGTTTAAAAACAAACTAGCCAAGCCATATACTGATGGTTCACACCTATAATCTTACCTACTCAGGAGGCTGAGACCTGAGGATTGCAGTTTGAAGCCAGACTGGGGAGGAAGTCTCCTCCCCGCCCCTCAAAAATGACAAAAGTAGAGCTATGGCTCAAGTGGTAGCATGCTAACCTTGAGCAAAAAAGCTCAGGGATGGGGCTGGGAAGGTGGCTCAGTGGTAGAGTGCTTGCCTTGCATGCAGGAGGCCCTGGGTTCGATTCCTCAGCACCACATAAGCAGGGGAAAAAAAAGCTGGAAGTGGTGCTGTGGCTCAAGTGGTAGAGCGCTAGTCTTGAGCTGAAGTGCTGAGGGACAGTGCCCCGGCCTAGAGTTCAGGCCCCAAGACCAGACCCCCCCAAAAAAAAAAAAAAACAGATAAGGAGACAGTATACCTCAGCAGACCACTCTCTTTACCACTTTAACCATATGTATTCATCTTGTATTGCCCAGTGAGGCTGTGTGTTTAACAGCAATCTTACCATACTTAATTTCACCATAATAGCAGTTTATCTTAAATTCATGTTTGACATGGTTTCTCTAATCTATATTTCAAGACATACTTGTAATAAACTATGTTGTTGGTAAGGTAGAGTTTTGCCACACTGGAAATAAAAATATGTTATAAACAATAAATACCTCCTCCCAGGTGAATGCTTCATTGGGTGACCTTTCACCTTCCATTGTAAAAGTTTTCCCAGTGCCAGTTTGGCCGTATCTGCCAAGATTAACAGCAATGTTAAATCAAAATCAAATACATACATCTAATTTTTTTATCAACTTGAAAAAGAGTGTTTTCTTACGCAAAGACAGTACAATTATAGCCCATAATAACTTCATCCAGAATTGGACAAACAACACTTCGGTAAACATCAATTTGTTTAGTAGATGCTCCAAAAACCTATCAAAAAAAAAAAAAAAAAAAGATCTTAAAGAAAACTTGTATAACTAATGTAAGCCAATTAAAACAAAATTCAAAATTACTCATTTTAATAATTTGTCCTTCTGACAACTTGAGGGGGCAATTAAAATTTATATAGGTATATGTCACCATATTCCAAGAGAAACACATATATTAGGATTACTTCACATCAGTGGAGAATTAGAAATAGCACCCAGAAAGAAGAAAGTAAGTACCATATCAAAAGTATATGTTTTCCTTGAGCTCTTGTCAGTCAGTCCTCCAGTTCGCACACTAACTTCTTTTCGTGCATGATCACATTCTACTACTGAATGGGCATTAGCTTTCCGCTCTGCCAAATTAAATGGCCTATAAAAAGAAATATCAAAGGTTATTCAAGTACTCTTGGCTGGTTATCAGTGACATTTTCTTTTTTTGTGTGCTGGTACTGAGACTTGAACTCAGGGCCTGAGCACTGTCCTTGAGCTAACCTCTTGCCGGCACATGTGATTAAGTCACCAAATGAATAACATTCAAGTTGTCAAGACTGAGAAGCAGGAAATTCACATAGATCACACAAAAATGACTAAACTTCCAGAAAAAAGTATTTCAAACCCATTATTGTCTTCAGATATCTCTAATTAGAAAGTGCATGGTTTCTAGGCTGGGAATGTGGCTTAGTGGTAGAGTGCTTGCTTAGCATGCATAAAGCCCTGGGTTCAATTCCTCAGTACCACATACACAGAAAGAGCCAGAAGTAGTGCTGTGGCTCAAGTGGTAGAGTGCTAGCTTTGAGCAAAAGAAATTCAGGGACAGCCGGGTGCCGGTGGCTCACGCCTGTAATCCTAGCTACTCAGGAGGCTGAGATCTGAGGATCATGGTTCAAAGGCAGCCTGGGCAGAAAAGTCAGTGAGACTCTTATCGCCAGTAAACCACTAGAAAACGGGAAGTGGTGCTATGGCTCAAGCAGTAGAGCGCTCGCCTTGAGCTGAAGAGCTCAGGGACAACACCCAAGCCCAGAGTTCAAGCCCTACCACTCACAAAAAAAAAAAAAAAAAAAAGAAATTCAGGGACAATGCCCAGGCCCTGAGTTCAAGCCCCAAGACTAATCAAACAAACAAACAAAAAGTGTATGATTTCTTCTGATCACAGTTTGTTAACTTCAGTAATGTTATACAAAAATTCAACCCAGCCAGACACTGGTGGCTCAAGCCTATAATCCTAGCTACTCATGAGGCTGAGCTCTGAGGACTGCAGTTCATAGCCAGCTTGGGCAGGAAAATCCATGAGACCCTTTTCTCCAATTCACCACCAGAAAACCAGAAGTAGCACTGGTGGCTCAAGTGGTAGAGTGCTCACCTTGAGCTCAAGAGCTCAAGGACAGCGCCCAGGCCAGAGTTCAAGACCTATGACTAACAGAAAAGAAAAAAAAAAGAAAAAAATCAAATGACTAAAGTGGTGGGAATAGAAACTATTGCAACCACTACAGAATCTGTATGGAAGTTCCTTAAAAAAAAAAAAAAAAAAACTAAAAATAAATCTACTTTATAACCCTCTATACATTTTTAGGCTTATATCAAAAGGAGAAAGACCCAGGTTTACTGCAGTTCTATTCACAATAGCCAAACTGTGGTAGCCAAACTGTAGAAGAAGCTAAGTGGATAAAGTACACACACACACACACACACACACACACACACACACACACACACACACACACACACACACACACACACACACACACTATTACTCAATCATAAAGAAAAAACAAACTATATTATTTGCAGGAAAATACACCGACTAGAGTTCCTCCTGTTGAGCAAGATAAAAACTGAACTCAGAAATATCACATTATTGCTCAGTTGTGAAGAACAAGCTCAAAATGATAATAATGATGATAATAACAATGGTAGTGAGACATGAATGCAAAAGGAGACTGTGTCTAGGAAGAAATCAGTGGGTGGTAGATGGGAGGGGGAAAATGAAATAGAGGGATGATAAGGATTGAAAGAAATTAAAACATATATATAAAGACAGCATACTGAAATCCACCAAATGCTATTTGAAAAGAGAGAAGGAACAGAAATACTGAGGGGAGGGGAGTTTGTTTCAAGTATACACTGTGTGCATATATGGAAATATCACAATGAACCCTCCTCATATTACAAATGTATGTTCATCCCCAAATTAAAGTAAACTAAAGCTCTTTGCATGTATGTCACCTAGTTACTGGAGATTTAGATCTTATGATTTTCAATACAGATAGACAAATTCTGAGGAATAGCCTTAGCCCATTGTTTGTATTCACACCTGTGCTTTGCAGCTACTGTGAAACCAAAGTAAGTTTTGGAATATTTTTTTTCTGAGATTTTATGTTAGTACAAGAATGAATTTATTGGGCTAGGAAGGTGGCCCAGTGGTGGAGTGCTTGCCTCAAATGCATGAGGCCCTGGGTTCGATTCCTTAGCACCACATAAGCAGAAAAAGCCCAAAGTGGTGCTGGGGCTCAAGTGGTAGAGCGCTAGCCTTGAACTAAAGAGCTGAGGGACAGAGCCCAGGCCCAGAGTTCAGGCCCCACGACTGATGACCCAAAAAAAAAAAAAGTGAATTTATTAGTGATCCATATCACTGCTCTTTTTGTTTTGTTTTGTTTTTTTGTTTTTTGTCAGTCGTGGGGCTTGAACTCTGGGCTTGGGCCCTGTCCCTAAGCTCTTCAGCTCAAGATGAGTGCTCTACCACTTGAGCCACAGAGCCACTTCCTGCTCTTTTATTCTGAGTAACAACTCTCCTCAAACAGAAACAAAGCTACTATGGATCCTCAGAAACAAAGCTACCATGGATCCTCCTTTCACAAAGTTGTTCTACAACCAACACAACATAAAAGTAATTTATATTGTGTCCTTAAAGTCAAGTGCCCTTATTTAAACTTTTTTTTTTTTTTTTTTGGTCTGTTGTGGGGCTTAAACTCTAGGCCTGGGCGCTGTCCCTCAGCTCTTCAGCTCAAGGCTAGCGCTCTACAACTTGAGCCACAGCACCACTTCGGCATTCACTATCACTTTTTAAGATCTAGATTCTACATATTAGAGAATACAGTCAGCCAGGCACAGGTGGCTCACACCTGTAATCCTAGCTACCCAAGAGGCTGAGATCTGAGGATCTCGGTTCAAAGCCAGCCCAGGCAGGAGAGTCCGTGAAACTCTCTTTCTTTTTCTTTTTTTTTGGTCATCATGGGGCTTGAACTCTGGGCTTGAGTGCTGTCCCAGTACTCTACAGCTCAAGGTGAGCGATCTACCGCTTGAGCCACAGTGCCACTTGCGGTTTTTTGGTGGTTTATTGGAGATAAGAGTCTCACAGACTTTCCTGCCTGGGCTGGCTTTGAACCATGATTCTCAGATCTCAGCCTCCTGGGTAGCTAGGATTACAGGTGTGAGCCACCAGCACCCGTGAAACTCTTATCTCCAATAAACCACCAGAAAACCAGAAATGGTGCTGTGGCTCAAGTGGTAGAGCGCTCACCTTGAACTGAAGAGCTCAGGGACAGCACCCAAGCCCAGAGTTCAAGCCCCATGACCGACAAAAAAAAGAGAGAAAACAGTCAATTGTTGATGGGCACCTATGCTGGTGCTTGATTACTGTAGATAAATAAATTGTAATAAACAGAATTGTGCAGATATCATAACTGTATGAAAAAAGACAAAAACAATTGTTGGTGAAAATGTGAAGAAACTCAAGCACTTGTACACTTTTGTCAAAAACATGGTACAACCATTGTGAAAGATATACTTGGTTCCTCAAAAAAAGTTAAGCTGAGTGCCAGCAGCAGAGATCTGAGGATCATCGTTTGAAGCCAACCCAGGCAGGAAAGTCTATGAGACTCATCTCTAATTAAGCACCAAAAAAAAGCCAGAAGTGGAGTTGTGGCTCAAGTGGTAGAGCACTGGTTTTGAGCAACACAGCTCAAGAATGGCACCCCTGGGCCTGAGTTAAAGCCCCAGGACTGGCACCAAAAAAAAAAAAAAAAATTAACAATAGAATTATATGAGCTAACAATTCTAATCCTAGGGTGTGTGGGTGTGTGTATCCAAAAAATAAATAAAAATCAAAGTCTCAAAGAGCTATCTGTATACTCATGTTCCTGGCAGCATTATTCACATAGGTAAAAGGCAGAAGCAAAATGTCAATCAGCGAATAAATGAATAAACAAATTGCGCTATACTCACACAATAGACTATTATGTAGCTTAAGAAAAGGAAAGACCAGGCCCAGAGTTCAGGCCCCACGACCGGACCCAAAAAAAAAAAAAAAAAGGAAAGGAAAGCTTTTCTGACATATGCCACAATATGGATATACTTTGAGGATATAATAGTAGGTGAAACGGGGCTGGGAAGGTGGCTCAGTGATAGAGTGCTTGCCTTGCATGCATGAGGCCCTGGGTTCGATTCCTCAGGACCACATAAGCAGAAAGAGCCAGAGTGGTGCTGTGGCTCAAGTGGTAGAGCACTAGCCTTGAGCTGAAGAAATGAGGGACAGCGCCCAGGCCCAGAGTAGAGGCCCCATGACCAACAACAAAACATAATAATAATAATAGGTGAAATAAATGAGTCACACAAAAAAGATAAATACTATACATTATTTCATTTATATAAGATACTTAGACAAAATCAGAAATGAACATTAGAATGGTAATTTTTAGGGGGTTAGGAAAAAGAGAAATGGGAAATTATTGTTCTGTCCATAATCTCAATTTCTCAAGATGAAAAGAGTGATAGAAATGAACATTGGAAATGGTTGCACATTACTATGAATGTAATTAATATCATTCAACTGTATACTGTACACCTGTCATCCCAGCACTCCAGAGGCTGAGGCAAGACCATTACGTGGGCTATACAGAAAGACCTTGTCTCAAAAGACAACAGCAAAATGTAAGTTCTATATTATACACATTTAAAAACTAGGAATAACTGGAGAGTTTCAGAAAGAGTATTCATTAAATATTTCTTCATCTAGACCTTTTAAAGAAAGGTGTGCCCAGCCTTGAAAACCCCATATGTTGCTTATTACTAAGGTTGAATGACAGACTTGAACCAAGAAGGATATTTGAAGTCTAAGCAGAAAAAAAGCTGTATCAAAATTAGGGTATATATTAGACACAATCTAAGCACTTTTCATTGGTTATAATGTAAACAAAATTACTTCTAAGTCACAAAGCTTGAATGTATGAGGTAAACCATGGGTGAAAGAGAGCTACAATAATTGTTGTACTGCTTAATTTGGATAATGGATACACAAATGTTTGTTACAGTATGTTTCATAGTTTTATATAAGCCTAAAATATTCTGTAGACAGCAAAAAGTTAAAAAATTGAAAGTACAAAGAGAAAAATAATATTGTCCAGTTTAAGCTTTCTTAAAATCTTCCTATTAAGCTTTTTTGAAGTAAAAATTTGATTTTGTCAACTATTCTAATTAAAAATAAATCTTCTAATTAAAAAAAAAATCTTTATGACCCAGAGTGAAAGCTCAAATCTGTAATTATAGCTACTTGGGAGATAGAAATTCGGAGAATCACAGTTTGAGAACAGTCCAACAAAAAAGTTAGCTAGAGGGGAAAAAAAAAAAGTGAGATTTCCATCTCAATTAGCAAGAGTGTGCCAGTCATCCCAGCTATGAAGAAGCTTATCTAGAAGTAGGAAGATCAATAGTCCAAGAATGGCTCCTGTCAAATAACTAAAGTCAAAAGGGACTGGGAGTGTACTTAACAAAGTGGAGTCCCTGAGTTTAAACCCCAGTACCCGGTTAAAAAAAAAAAAAAGAAAGAAAAGAGAGAGACGAAGTCTTCAAAGTAAGTAACCAAAAGCTCCAGCAGTTGTCATTGACTAGGCGTTAAGATTATCACCAAATTTCCTCACTGGCACCTAGTTTAAAAACTTGGACAAGTTTTAAAAACTTGGATTGCCTTTCTTACCCACATCTCAAGTCATCAAAGCTTGGTTTATCACCTAAGAAATTTTGTTGCTACTAATACTGTTTAAATAACCTTTTAATTTTAGGATACTTCTGCATTTACAAAAATATGCAATAATCAATTTAAACAATAAGAAAAAGCAGATACACAAAGCACACGTACAGGGATGGGCTGTACAAAGCGCCTGGAAAAGGAATAAAGGAATCACCAATTAAGCAGCAGTTTCGAAAACTTTGTTCCTCCCCTCTACTAGCTAATTTTAAAATTGAAAAGTAGGAAACACAGGAGTGAGAGCCAGCCACGCAAGGGCAACCTGAGAAACAAAGCAAGCCTTCGTTTCTTTAAAAAAAAAAACAAAACAAAACACATTTTTTAATCCGAGTTTTTTGGAACCAGTCAAGGGAGACTTGAAGACCTTCCTCTCACCACTGCGCGCCCTCCCCCCAACACACACATCCTCACTCCTAAAATTCTGACTTTTGGATCTACAGACAAAGAGGACGGTGAAGTAGAAGCTGCAGCTGCACCTCACTCTTCCTCATCCTTATGAACCCGCTATGGTAAAAATAAAGTCACACTTACGTGTTTGATAAACATGCACAACATATTGCATCTCAAACCAAGAGAGCCAGGGGAATGACAGTCCTGCGTCCGGATTTACAAACTGACACCAGCACCAGAAAGTGTCACTTAAGTCAACATCCATTCAAAAAAAGAAAATAGGATCGCAATTTTCAGGAAAAGGAGGAGCGACTATCGCGTTTTTCTTGTGACTAGCAGTTTAACCACTGCCTCGAACACACACATTCTTCATCTGCATCTCATAGCAACTGGTATGAGATGCGCAGGAACCGAGGAACCGACCCGGGAAACAAACAACTCCCCTGGGCGGACGGCCGGCCTCCGGGAGGCAGCCCGGCGGAAAAGGCCCGGCGTTCGAGGCCCGCCAGACTCGCTCTCGTCCTCGCTCTTCCCTACCTGCATCTCACCACCACCTGGATGTTCTTCCCCTTCTCCTCTTTTTTCTTCGCAGAAGAGTTTGGCTGGGACGCCATCACTGTCCAGGTCCAAAGAATTTAAAAAAAGAAAAGAAAAAGGGCGTTTCGGGTGTCCACCTCCCCGCCCCGAGCGCTGGAACGGCCCGAAGGATCGACGTGCGTAGCGCGGCGTTCCCCGTCACTTCCCACCCGGAGCTCGAGCGGCAGCGACAGGGAGCCCCCCGCCAGAACCACCAAAACTCGTATTTCGTCGGCGCGCAGAAACCGAGTAACGACTGTGCGCCTCAATTTGAAAAATGAGCGGAGTTGCCAAGCCAATAGCAACGCGGGTGCGCAAAGCACCATGGAACGCGCTGTCGTCAACGGAGTCCCGCCTCGGGGGCGTGGCTTACACGGGCGCTGAATCCGCGCCTGCGCAGAAGTTGTAGCCGGAAGGGAGGGGCGGAGTTGCCTTCCTGTGTCCAATCTGTGTGGTTTCGCTCAAGTGAAATGAAGTCGCTAAACCTAGGTTGTCTCACCAGAAAGATAAAACGGTAATAACTGTCTCAGAGGGTGGTGGGGAAAAGTAATGAGATCACGCGGGTAAATAGTATAGACCCGCTCATATAGTAAGCATCTACGAAAGGTCAGAGTTATCAAGATTAGAAAATGGAAATAAACCCACAAGGTTAACTTCCAAGGGACGCTCCCTGAGACAGCATCTAGAATAGTTTTCGTTAAGTAGACATTGGATATCCTGTGAAAGACTTTAGATTTATCCTTTGATGAGGGAAAGTCACAGCTCAATGATTCCCAGCGAAAAGCACAAGATAGAGTTTACGTTGCCAGGACCCGCGCAGTCGCGAGTGTGTGGTGAGGGATTGGCGTGCCTGGCTTCAGGAGGAGATTGCGCATGCGCACCGTTTCGGCCTACAAATCCCGGTGTGCCTCGCGCTCACAGGTGTTACCGACCTCAGTGACCTCGGGCTTTCTGTAGGCGTGCTGGGCCCGAAGACCTTCGGCTTTCCGTAGACGCGCAGGCCCCGGCAGCCTCGGGCTTTCCGTTAGCGCGCAGGCCCCGGCGACCTCCGGCTTTCCGTAGGCGCACAGGTTGCAAGCCTCGGTGACCTTCGGCTTTCCGAAGGTTCGCGGGACACGTCCTGACTGTGATTGGGGGTAACCGAGTCATTTATGGTGTGAGGTCGCTGGCCCAGAAAGTTCTGCCCCAGGCGTCTGTCTGTGGTCGATTCCCCGAGCTGCACTTCTGGGCTACACTGAGCCCCGTGGGACCTCAAATGGCAATTTCGCTTCATCTATGTCATGGCCGGGCGCAGTGGAAAGCCCTGGTATCCCGCCCGCGTTCCTCCACTTAAACGCATCTGCGGGTGAGACCTCAGGCCCTGCCCGTCATGCACCGCCCGCTGTCTACCGATAAATTACCGCAGACGTCTCTTTACCCTCCTACATCTGCCCTCATCTTTTTCATCTGGACAGTAACTAGAACCATCGGCTCCTCTCTGTCTAGCGCAGGCCTCTTTGTTCCGTCTCCTCTGCCACCACCCTCGTGCCAGGCTTTTATCTCTACCCGGAATTCCTGTTATCGGCTTCCTTAACGAGTTTAACAGCTTGTACTCTTCTCCCTGCCCCCACTGCTCTATTCTGCTGGGGATATATCCTTTATAAAATAAAGAGATCGTTAGCCGGGCCCTGGTGGCTCAGGCCTGTAATCCTAGCTACTGAGGAGGCCGAGATCTAACGACAGTTCGAAGCCAGCCGGGGCAGGAAAGTCCGTGAGATTCTTACCTCCAATTCACTATCAGAAAACCAGCAGTGGAGCTGTGGCTCAAAGTGGTAGAGCACTGGCCTTCAGCAAAAAAAAAAAAAAAAAAAGTCAGGGACAGGGAGGGCCCAGGCCCTGAGGTCAAGTCCTATGACTGACCCACTCCCCCCAAAAATGCCTTCTTATACTACCTTCTCATTGTAGTTGGAATTAAATCCAAACTCATTACCAAGCCTTAAAGACCTCGCAGTCTGAGTCACTTTGTATCTCTCACTACTAAGCTACAGAGTTTCAGTTTTTCTTTTGTAAGTCTGGCTCCTTGGTCTTGGTCTTTTTACTCTTCGCATCTTTTATCCCTGAGAAGATTTCTGGTTACAACTCTAGGCTTTTCCTAGCTGGTACACACCGGTAATCCTACCACTGGAGAAGCTGAGGTAGGAAGATTACAAATTTGAAGCCAATGACGGCTACCTAGTGAGTTCCAGGCCAGGCTGAGCCACAGAGCTACAAAGATCCTGTAAGAAGTGATAGAGGAAAGCCGGGCACTGGTGGCTCACGCCTGTAATCCTAGCTACTCAGGAGGCTGAGATCCGAGGATCGCGGTTCAAAGCCAGCCCGGGCAGGAGAGACCGAGAGACTCCTATCTCCAATAAACCACCAGAAAACCGGAAGTGGCGCTGTAGCTCAAGTGGTAGACTGCTCGCCTTGAGCTGAAGAGCTGAGGAACAGCGCCCAGGCCCAGAGTTCAAGCCCCACGACCGACAAAAAAAAAAAAAAAAAAGAAGTGATAGAGGAGAAAGAATTCGGGGAAGGAAATAAGGAAGAGCCCTGTCCTAACTTCCCTATCTACAGTATGTAATTACATTGTCGTTGTGATTTTTTTTCTCCCTGTATAGAAAAGTTTCATAGGGGACCCTGTCTTCTTTACTTTTTTTTTCTTTCTCTCTCTCTCTCTTTTTTCTGTCTTGAACTGAGTTTACAAAGTAGGCCTTCAAATATATTTGGGGCTGGTGATAGCTCAAGAGATAGAATACTTGCCTAGGAATCATGAAGCACTGAGTTCAAAACAAAAACAAAAAAAGTGAAAGTATACGTCTATAAAAGTACATATATGGGTACCTGGGAGAAACATTTAACATCTCCCAGCTTTGATATTCTTATCTATAAAATGGAGATAATTTTTCCTTCCTTCCTTTTTTGGTCAGTTGTGGGACCTGAACTCTGGGCCTAGGTGCTGTCCCTCAGCTCTTCAGCTCAAGGCTAGCACTCTACCACTTGAACCACAGCACCACTTCCAGCTTTTTCTGCTTCCTTCCTTCTTTATTTCCTTTCTTTTTTATTTTTTATGTATGTGTTTGAAACAAGTTCTTGCCATGTAGCCCAAAGTAGCCTTGAATGAACTTTTTTCTTTCTTCCCTTTCTTCCTTGTTTTTTATTTGCTTGTTTGTTGTTTTTGTTTTGTTTGCCAGTACCAAGGTTTGAACTTAATTCTCTACCATTTGCACTATGCCCCCCACCCCTGGTGTTGAAATTTTAGTCCTCCTGCCTCTGCCTTCTTAGTGCTGGAATTACAGAGGTGTGTCACTATGCGTGGCTTGAGATTTTTGTTTTTCTTAAGTTAAATATGGCCAGGTTAAAAAACCCTATGAGGGATGGGAAAGTGGCTCAGTGGTAGAGTGCTTGCCTTGCATGCATAAGGCCCTGGGTTCAATTCCTCAGCACCACAGATAAAAGCTGGAAGCAGTGCTATAGCTCATGTGGTAGGGTGCTAGCCTTGAGCTGAAGAGCTGAGGGACAGCGCCCAGGCCCAGTGACCATCAAAAATAAATAAAAATAAAAGTTTCACAGACTTTCCTGCTTGGGCTGGCTTCAGCTATGATCTTCAGAGCTCAGTTTCTTTACTAGCTAGGGTTATAGGTGTGAGCCCCTGGCACCTGACTTAAACTAGAAGTTTTGATGATATGCTCTGGTATGCATCTATTTTCATCCATTGAACTGAGCATTCAGAGAATTCTGTCAATCTGGCAACTTATTTCTATCAATTCTGGGAAATGGCTTTGAATTATTCATCAAACATCTCATTCCTTTTTATCTATTCTTTCTTTCTGGAACTCGTATGTATAGATATTGGATTTCTGCTTCCCAGAAAATAACACTATTAAATATGATGGATTTCTTTTCAGTTGTCTGTATGTATACTTAGAAATAAGTGAGATTACAATTGAACATGTGTTTTTGCATCTTGAATTAGCATTCTTTTAATACTTTAGAAAGCCTGCATAAACATCATTTCTATTTATATGATCTTCTAAAATTCTTGAGCAAAATGTGCATTTCTGTAGTGAACAGTTGAGGACAACATGCTTAACTTTAGCCATGTGTTCATAGTCACTAGAATCATGTCAGGTTCTGTTACTGTGTATCTACTGTGTATCTGTGAGCATGAGTGCTTTTTTGGTTTTTGGGGGTTTTTTTTTTGGTTCTGGTCTTGGGCCTGAACTCTGGGCCTGGGCGCTGTCCCTCAGCTCTTCAGCTCAAGGCTAGCACTCTACCACTTGAGCCACCTTCCCAGTCTGAGTATGAGTGTTAAAGAGAACAATAGTAAATAAGTTTATATGTACTTATAAACTATGAAATAAGCACAGTTCATGAACTGTTTATAAACTTAAAGAGGAACAGTGAAAAATATGTAAGTATATTGCCAGACACTGGTGGAAGTATAAAGCTCCCCTAAATCCAGATTTTTGTTGCTATTTTTAATTTCCTAATAGAATCTTAATAGCAAAGGTTAATTGGGAGGAAAAGAGAAAAGTCTCCAGCTCAGTCTTCTAGCTGCTTGTCAGTCCCTGGACTCTGCCAGACTTTCCTGTCCCAAACCTTCACAAATGATGTTTTCCTCACCTGTTCCATGGTTGTCTCCTGGTTAGTCTCTTTCAAACCACAATGTAAATTATATCTTCCCAGAAAGCTCTTCCTGATGCAGCCCTCCTCCCCCAAATCTTTCACCAACCCCTTTTTATGCTGGCATCAGTGGCTCACATTTATAATCCTAGCTACTCAGGAGGCTGAGACCTGAGGATTATGGTTTGAAGTTGGCCCAGGCAGGAAAGTCCAATTAACTATTAAAAATCTGGAAGTGGAGCTGTAGCTCAAGTTCTAAAGTGCTAACTTTAAGCAAAATGTCAGGAACAGCACCCAGTTCAAGTCCCAGGACTGGCACATATATACACACTAACTTTTAACTTTCAGTGACAAAGTTCTGGCTTGGATAGAAAGCATTTCAGGACCTAAGGACAATTTAAAAAAAAAAAAAAGGGGGCTGGGAAGGTGTCATGCATGAGGCCCTGGGTTCGATTCCTTAGCACCACGTAAGCAAAAAGAAAAAAGCCGGAAGTGGTGCTGTGGCTCAAGTGGTAGAGCGCTAGCCTTGAGCTGAAGAGCTGAGGGACAGTGCCCAGGCCCAGAGTTCAGGCCCCACAACCGGACCCAAAAAAAAAAAAAAAGAGAGGAGGGAGAATGTTCTGGGGAAGGGAT